GCAAGAAGCGACTGGCTTACAAGCTTTCAAGAGGGAGCCTAGATCCAGAGGGCGTGGAGCAAGGTAGAATCTCCACTGAGTAGTATCTAATCTGTCTAGGCGGGGCTGATGAAAGGAGATGGGGATAGGTCTCTTGTGATACAATAGTGAATAATTGTTATCAGGACTGCTTGTGAGAGTTGGAAATGTAAAGGTAGACATCTTATAGCAAAAGGAGGGGAGTGATTAACTTTGCTGTTTAGGAGTGGAGGTCCCTGGGACCATCAAGGAAGAAGAACAGAGAGCAGGACCCTACCCAGAGAAGCAGTGACACCAGAGATGGAGGCAGAGATGATGATGTGGAGAGATGGAGTGGCTGGGGACTTCAGACCCAGAGAGGGAGAGGGGCTGTGTGCTGATGACTGGGGAGCAGGCTTACAGGGTAAACCCTTTGGTTGGTTGATGATGCATGGAGGGGATTGTAATCAATGCAATGAAATGGTATACGATAGGATGAATGTAAAACTAATGTTCTCCCATGTAAACTATCACATAATTCACAATAAAACATTAAAAAAAAAGAATAAATAAAAGACAAAATATACTCTTCAAATCACACTTTTAAAAAAGTTGAATTCTTAAATCTGTGAATTAGATTCCTTATCCAGGAATTCTACTGATAACACTTAACAGGATTTCAATTGTCAGTAAAGACAATCAGTAGAACAGGTTTTGGGCTCTTGACCCAGTATTTCCTGGCAACTAAAACTACAGAATCCTCTAAGTAAAATAAATAAAAGTCATGATATATTGCAGTCTTAGTGTGGAATGCTCCTCTGCTCATCTGAGATGGCATAGGTAGAGAGAAAATCAGAATCTCTGGTTTTTACGATCACAGCTATGAACTTGCATGATGCACCCTTTCGTTTATACCCAGCCCTTCTGTTCCCTCTCTCTCCATACCTGGAAGGTGGAGTCTGGAAAGTCCTTTGTTCTAAACTAGGTGAGATGTTTTCAGGTCTTGGCAAGTTATTGTTGATCTTGCTAAGTGCCACCAAGTCAGTTCTGACTCATAGCTACCCTGTGTAGATTTCTAAGGAGCAATTGTTGGGTTTACGCTGTGGACTTTGTGGTTCGTAGTCCAGTGTTTATCCTACAGTGATACACCAGGACTCCCGGAAAGTTAGAGATGTGAATAGAAGTCAGCTCCCATGACAGCTAATTTAGGTTCCAGAGGGCAGAGGGGTCTGGTTGTTTATCCACAGGTACACACTGACTTTCCCCCTGAGAACCCAAATTCCATTTTTGCTCTGCTCTTTTTATTGGCATCTAAAACTCCAAGTATCACAAGCTAAATTTAAGATTCTAAATAATGGAAACATGTTGACCTACTACCCACTGCCCTTAAGTTGATTCCAACTCATCGTGAACCTAGAGGGCAGAGCAGAACTACCTCATAACTTTCTGAGGCTGTAAATCTTTATGGAAGCAGATTGCCACATCTTTTTCCTGTGGAGTAACTGGTGGGTTCAAATTGCCAACCTTTCGGTTAGCATTCAGTGCTTAACCCATAGCATTGCCAGGCCTCCTTGGAACATGCTTCTTTTCCTTGTCGTTTGCCGTCAAGTTGGTTCTGACTCACAAGTGACCCTGTACAGGGTTTCTGAGGAGCGGCTGGTAGGTTTGAACTGCCGACCTTGAGGTTATCAGTCCAGTGCTGATTCTATACCTTCACACCAGGACTTAGAGGTCATTTGTTGTTGTTAAGTGTCACCAACTCAGTTCCAACCCATAGTGATCCTGTATTGGGTTTCTAAGGAACAACTGGTGGGTTTGAACGACCGACCTTGAGTTAAGTAAGATTTTCCAAAGTGTGTTCTGCAGAACGCCCCTCGTGCAAGGTGCTTCCATAAATGTGAGGAACAGTGTGTCCTCTAGATCATCTCTTGGAGACTCAGGGGGGCATCTGAGGCTTGGCAATGCCCTGTACTAAGTAAACAATACCTAACTCATATGCTGGCTTTTATAGGAGGGCTTTGGGCCTCACTTTCCAGGCTACATTGTGATTTCAATGTACAAATGTCTGAATTTCAAATCCAACTTCCCATAAACTAGAAAATTCCTACATATCATTAAAGGTGTGAAGACAGCAGACATTGGTAGGAACCCTACATGACCCATAAAAGGTGGATAATGTCAAAGCAACAATAACTTTGGGATTAAGAATGGATGTGGCGCTGTAGGATAAACACTGCAATATCGGCAGTTCAAACCCCCCCAGCCGCTCCTCAGAAACCCTACACAGTCTAACGGATTCCCAGTGTAGCGCTGTAGGATGAGCACTGGGCTGCAAGGCTGATTTGAACCACCTGGTCGGTGACTCAGTCTCTCCAGCCACTCCTCAGAGAACCTCTATACAGGAGTTGGACTCGATGGCACTTAACAAGACAAATTAAATTTTATGTACGTTAAGAGTCCTGGTGGTGCAAATGGTTAAGTGCTGCACTGCTAGCTGAAAGGTTGGTGGTTCGAACCCACCCAGAAATTCCCTGGGGTAAAGACATGGCGATCTGCTTCCTTTTCCTAAGGAAACTTTACAGGGCAGTCCTACTGTGTCTCATGAGGTTGCTGGGAGTCCAAATCAACTGGACAGCACCTCACAACAACTACATATGTTCCTTCATTTCAATCCTGGCAAAAACCTGTGAGGTACAAGTCCTTTCCTCTATTTTATAGACAGGGAAATGGGGACTCAGTAAAATTCTGCAATTTGTCTAAGATCAAGGAGTAGGTAGTTGAGTTGGGAGGCAAACTTTGGTCTGCCTGTTTGTTCTATCTGTCTCACCAGAGGAAGGTATGGAGCACAAGCACAATGCATTTGCATAGAATCAAATGTTTCTGTTTAGTACCAAACCACTGTCTGTATTTTACAGAATGGCTAATGCACTGCATCCTTGTAAACTCCTCAGAAATGACTTTAATCAATGCTAAGATCCCATGTGGACAAACACAATCCACAGATATTTAGAGCAACCTATGAAGGCTTTGCCTCCTTTTCTTCCTGCCTCCCAAAATAGAAGGAACTTTTTAAAGACCCATGAGCATTCCCTCCGATGCATCGTTCAATCTTCAAAGACTGAAAGGGATGAGCAACTCGCTGCACGATACCAAAGCTTGGAGAGTGAGCCTGAATAACGTAGCTCTGATGGTGTGAAGTTTGGATTCCAGCGGCATTGGTCCATGGGTGTTTGTCAGAACTGAAAACGATTGCTTAATGCAGCCTGCTGAAACCGTGTACAGGGTCGCTATGAGTCAGAACCGACTTGATGACACTTAATGACAACAATAATCCATGATTCGGAACTGTGCACTGGCTTCCTGAGAATATATTCTGCAATTTTTGTGTAATTCTTTAAATATGTATATTTCAAATGGAGCAGGGAAGAATTAGAAAACCAAAGTGATAGTTGAGAATTTTTCTGATTATAAATTATTTCAGGCTGATAATCACACCCATACAACTTTCTGTCAACTTCAACAGCAGAATGTACAATGTACTATACTAGAGACACCTGAAACAATTTGTATCATTTAGAGGATCTATAGATCTTAAAGAAACATTTGGTGTTTTCATTGTCCAAATGAAAATGTTGTTTTCATTGTAATAGAAGGACCACATTCTAGATTTAATGATAAGTACGAATACAGTGGCGTAACAGCATCAGATGATATCACCTGTTTGTCAGTGTGTCATCCTGGGGGGGGACTTGCATGTTGCTGTGATGATGAAAGCTATGCTGTTAGTATTTCGAATACCAACAGGGTCACCCATGGAGGACAGGACAGAGTTCAGTGGGGTTTCTAGATTAAGACAGCATAGGAAGAAAGGCCTGGGATCTATTTATGAAAGTTAGTCAATGAAAACCTTATGAATTACAACAGTTATGAAGACTTGTCAATGTTTCATTCTGTTGTACATAAAGGTGGCCATGAGTTGCAGTTGACACAAAGGCAAGTAAACCCAAAAAAAACACATGGTATCATTACAAAAATTGCAGCTCCCAATTATTACTGTAGGTGCCAAGTTTGACTACTATTAGAAATGCACACATATCATATGAGAAGGAGCTCTGGTAGTGCAGTGGTTACGAGTCAGGTGATTAACCTTGAGGTCAGCAGTTCGACATTACCAGCTGTTCCACAGGAGAGAGATGAGGCTTTCTGCTCCCATAAAGATTTACAGACTCAGAAACCTTATCCAGGGTCACTATGAGCCAGAACCAACTCCACGGCACATAGCCACCACCATTGCATGAGACGCTGAAATTTACTTTCCTTCCCAACAACCCTAGACTAATTATGCTCTAATATTGAGAAACGTTGTGTGGTGTTGCAGAATAAGCCCTGGACTGCTAACTCTAAGGCTGGAGGTTTAAACCCCCCAGCTGCTCCTGGGGAAACCCTATACAGGGTCACAATGAGTCAGAATAGACTCCACAGCACTTAACAACCACCACCATAGAAACCAAGAGACATAGTGAAGGAATGAGGAAACTGAAAGATTATTCCTTTAGTTCCAGAGAAAGAAAAGAATTTGTTAAATTCAAAAAGTGTAGTATTTGAGGTTCCAGGTAAGTGGCTGGCTGTGTGCAGTGGAGTCGGTTCCGACTCATAGCGACCCTGTACAGGGTTTCTGAGGCTGTACATCTTTATGGGAGCAGAATGCCTCATGTTTATTTCGAACTGCTGACCTTGCGATTCGCAGCCCAATTCGTAACCACTATGCTACCAGAGCTCCTTAGCAGGTAGGGGACAGTTCTAAATTAAATGGAAAAGTGAAACATGTAGTAAAAGCTTAGAAAAGCGAGTCTGTTAAAATACCTTATAGTTGGTTGATAATACATTAACATTTGGTAAAGAAGCCAAAGTTTGTATGTTAATGACAAGTTGAGCTTTTGATAAAATCAAGGTATGTTTCTAGAAAAGTTTGAGTCTGTGCACAGAGAAGGGCAGTGACTCACCACATCGAATGCAGTAAACACATGGCAGTAGTGATGATTGGACTTCAAATCTTTTGTGATATAAGCGAATGTTGAGAGGTCTTCTGGGTCTTGGGCAGCACAGGAGATATTACGAATTTCATGCTCAGCAATTATGTTCTAGAAGAAATGACACAAGAGACCATCATTTTCCTTTGCAAAGCAGCATATTGTAGCAGCAATGCCTGTGATCAGTAGATTCCCTCTTTCCAGAGTGTCCCTGACCACAATGTTCTGATCCAACACGCACACTGTCCATGGGCAAATGTATGTCAGGTCTGGAATGAATGTTTTCATTTAATTAAAAAACAACTTAAAATAGTCACACCCTGGAGCCATGGTTCTCACCAGGTGGCTTGCAGTCTAAGTGCAGACTAAAAAAACACACAGTCATTACCAAGCTGCTTACTGTTTCCATCCCCATGTCTACTTGTAGATATGTAGCATTACCTCCTGCTAGCGCCCCCTGGGCAAGTCCACCTGCCACTTGCAGGCAGATGCTCTCTCCCAAGATTCTGGGGAGGTGAAAATGTAACAGCAGGACACGAGAAACGTTGTTAAGTACCACGGAGTTGGTTTCAACTCACAGAGACCCTGTATAGTGTTTTCGAGGAGCGGCTGTTGAGTTTGAACAACTGACCTCACAGTTCAAAAACTGACCTTGTGGTCTAGTGCTTATCCTACAGAGCCACACCAGGACTCCTTTTGTTGTGGAATGAACTGTGTCCTCCTCAAAAAGATAAGTTAAAAGAACTCTTAACCCCTGTACCTATGAATACCCATATAGCCTTGTTTAGAAATAGGATCTTGCTCTGAAGATGTTATCTTAAATTATCCAAGTAGGGGGGTCCTTATCCTTAAGGAGTTATTGTTGTTGTTAGGTGCCATCGAGTAGGTACCAACTCATAGCGACCTTATGCACAGCAGAATGAAACACTGCCTGACCCTGGGCCAACCTCACTAATGTTACCATGCTTAAGTCTATCGATGCTGCCACTTGGCTAATCCATCTCACTGGGGGTCTTCCGCTTCTTCTCTGACCCTCCACCTTACCAAATGATATCCTTCTCCAGTGACTGGTCCCTCCTGACAATATGTCTGATGTATGAGAGACAAAGTTTGGCCATCCTGGCCTCCAAAGAGCACTCTGGCTGCACTTCTTCCAAAATGGATCTGTTGGTTCTTTTGACAGCCCGTGGCACTTTCAATATTCTTTCCAACACCATAACTCAAAAGCATCCATTCTTCTACGATCTTCCTTATTCACTGTCCAACTTTCACATGCATATGAGGTCACTGAAAATACCATGGTTTGGGTCAGGCACACCTTAGTCCTCAAACTGACATCTTTGCTTTTCAACGACACTACACTCCTTAGAGAGTAGTGTCTTTTATAAAAGGAAAGAGCAGACAGACATGGAGACAGTCAGCCAGGAGGAGGATCTCATGTGCTGTTGTTGTTAAGTGCCCTTGAGTTGGTTCCGACTCATAGCGACCCTGTATAGGATTTCTGAGGAGCGGCTGGTGAGCTTGAACCACCAAACTTGCAATTCAAACCAATCTTGTAGTCTGGCGCATTAACCCTCATCACCGTAGCTACAGGAGCTAGACGAGGGACACAAGGAAGGATCTTTTCCCCTCTAGAGTGGACAGAGAAAGCATGGTCCTACCAGCACTCTGAATTTGTGAAATTAAAGTTCTGCTCTTTAAAGCCCCCCCACTTTGTGGTTTGTGGTTACATCTGCCCCAGGAAACGAAGACAACCATGCTGCAATATGAAGGAGGTATCCCTTGGTCCAGAGTCCCATGGATATAACAACACTTCATTCACTATATCACCATATATAATGACGAGGTTGGTGTAGTTGCTATCATCTGTCAGGTGAGAAAAATGGTACTTAGTGACATTCAGTGCCTTACCCAGGGCAGACGATGGGGCTGTCTGCCTGTCAGTTCACACTCTTATCAAGTGCATTGTGCTGCCCCTCACCCCTCATGATTTTAACATCATTTTGTTTTTCTTTCTCTAGCATTTCTTTGCTCCTCCCCACCCACCCCGCTTGGCTCCAAGATTAACTGGTGGGAGCTAAGTGAGGAAAGGTTTAAGCATGAACTATTCATGGAGTATCATCTTGGCTGCACACTCTACTAGAACCTTCTTGTGATAAACATATATTTTAAAAGCAACAATAAAGAGCAAAAATAAGAAAACCTCACAGAATAGAGCACTGATTTTTTTTTTCATCTTATAAATGTCCCATTTATGCTTTTTTCCTGCCCTTGTCATAGATCTAAAACCTTCGATGCTTTACCTACCCTAATTGCTGTTTAACTGCACAATCTTAAATAACCTGTCAGCAACAATGCAAATGTCCTTCCCTGCCAGCACCCACAGCAAATACTTCCTGTCCCTCACTCTAGTGAGCTGTGGGGTGGGGAAGCAATTACAGAATTAACATAGAAAAGAAAATGAAGTCATTCTTCAAGGTGGTGCAGGATGCTGATGCCACTTGCAGTGCTCTGTCCAAAATAAATCAAAATTGGAATCCCATAAACAAGTAACAGTCTACTCTAAGACCCAGTTCCAAAAGGTAAGGTCATGATCCTCATCTAACCTACTCAGATAGTTATTTCTTCAAGCAGAAAATAAAATTAGGAACCAGTGAGTTTTAAGATAAATATTAAAATGAGTCGCTTTACATAATCTTTAAAGGTGCAGATGCTAGCATCTCTGCCACCATGTTAATGCACGCTGGGCTGTGAACTGAAAAGGCTGGATGTTCGAGTCCACTCAGAGATGTCTTGGAAGCAAAGTACCTGAAGAACGAGCCATGGAAAACCCAGTGGAGCACAGATCTGCTTTGATGTACACGGGGTTGCCATGAGTTGGACTCGATGGCAGCTGTTTTTTGCTCCTACCTCACTGATTTGGTCTCACCTGTTCAGGAGCTCTTAGAACTAGAGGGACGTTTCACTTGCTCCAACTTTCAACAATGTTGACTTTTTGTGTTCTGGACATCCTATACAAGCAGATCAACCTCTCACAAATGCCCTGTGAATTTGATTGCACTGAATATCCTGAATATTGCCAAGTCACAGGATGCGGTGTTTGGCAGCACTGTGGCTTTGGGCAAAGCTGCAGGGCAGGAACGGTGCGTCTTATCCTTTGTCTTTTCTTAACTTCCCTCCAGTACGCTGGCCCCCTGCCTCTCTAGTCTCCAGGAGTGCAGGGCTATCTTTTGATTGCCTCATGAGGTTTGCTCTCCTCTGTGATGTTCAATGTTCCAAAGCCAGCCTCCTCTCTCACTATTGAAATTCTTATTCCTTTGTTCCCGCGGTCTAAGCTAGGAGGAAAACAGGATAACAAAAATATCCCATATTCGTATCTTAAATATCTATTGCTGCTACAGGAGAAATGCCACAAGTGGGTGGTTTTCACACACAGAAATGAATTCTCTCACAGGCATCCAAATCAAGGGCACTGGCTGTAGAGAAAGGCTCTGTTAACGCTTTGTTTAGGAGGAGGGGCCTTGTATCCTTTTGGCATTTGGCATCAATCTTCCGGTGGGGCTAGGAGGTTCCTAATGCAGGGATCCGAAGGACATACCCTACTTCTGGCTTTTCTTTCTTTCTTAAGTTATTGCTGTTTAGTGCCGTTGAGTCGGTTCCGATCCACAGTGACCCTGTACAGGGTTTCTGAGGAGCAGCTGGAGAGCTTGAACCACCGACCTTGCAGTTTGAACGGCTCTGCGGTCTAGTGCACACACCAGGACTTCTCTTGGTGATAGCTGTTTGCTCTAATCCCTGGTTGTTTGTTTAGTTCCTTTTCATATCTCCAAGAGATTGGTTCAAAATACAGCCTAATTCTGTAGATTGCATCCTGCCTCATTCATGCAACTGCCTCTAATCTTGCCTCATTAACAACGTTGCTGTTAAGAGCCGGCGAGTTGGTTCAGATCCATAGCAACCCTATATAGGGTTTCCAAGGAGCAGCTGGTAAGCTTAAACCTGTGACCTTGTGGTTCGAACCAACTTCACAGTCCAGAGCATTAACCCACAAAGCCACACACTAGGACTCCATAAACAACACAGAGGTAAAAATTGATAACAATTAGAATAATTAGATCAAGTCACAAAATGTAAGATTACTATATAATACTGAGAATCATGGCACAGTCACATGGACATATAGGGTTTGGGGTACACTGAGGTATAATCGATCAATTCAGTCATGTAACTGGCACTTAAAAAATGTACTGGAATGACTTTGTATTGATGGGCTGTGTTAACGGAGGTATGTTTGAGCAGAACTTCCTGGTATACCTACTGTGCTAGGTGAATGGGGTGAATGACCTGGAGTGTCGCTAATTTTTATTTATTATTATTTATTTAATACTTAATAATATAATTATTAATAAGTTAATAACATTATTTCTTTACTATCATTCTATATTTGTTGTTGAGAACACACCCAGTACAGCAGAACACCACCACGTCATCGTCACTACCTCTGATACTGATGATATTCTTTGAACGGTGCAGTCTTCTCAGCCTCCTCTAAGCTGTTCTTCACACTGACATAAAGTCACTGTCCCCTAAGCCTCCTATCTAATCTTTATAGAGTTGCTGCTGCCAGTTTGATCCCATGGAAACCCACAGCCACTGAGTTAATTCCAACTCGAAGCAACCCTCTAGGGTTGACAGAATAGAACTGCTACTTGGGTTTCTCAAGAATGTACATCTTTACGGGCGTAGACAGCCTCATTGTCTCCCATGGAGAGGCTGGGGGATTTGAACTGCTGACCTGGAGGTTAATCGCCCAACACTAACCCATTATATGCCACCAGGGCTCTTTTGGATCCTCAAAAATAGATCTTAAAAGAATGCAAAGCTCAAGGAAGATACTCTTTACTGCCAAGCTAAGTGATTATTTGATTTTAAGAAGACTCCAAGGAATACATTTGGTTTAAGCTTTAAAAATCATCTCAGGCAATCATTTTGGAGTTCACCCAGTCTCCTGGATTCCATGAGAATCTGAGATGGGGGTGATGTGAATCTCACTATTGAACCCTGTCATCATTCTGTGTACTACCTGTCTTCACGGACTGTGAGGCCGGTGT